TGCCTATATGATTGCAATGTGGGATCGTCCGGAGAGACACCGTGTCCCACCTTCCCATCCGGAAACGGAAACGCGCCGGATGTGAAGAGCTCGTCCAGCGATATATCCTTGAAGATAGCTTTTTTCCCCGTCACTTCTGTGAACGTCTTAGCCAGGTACTCCCAGCCCACGCTCTCCGTCGCGACCATTAGATTCATCCCGTTGCTGCGGTCCGGGTTGTCAAACACCCAGCGTGCGTATCGCCCGAGGTCCGCGAGGTAGATCAGCGGCGGTCGCCCGTTCCCCAGCGGCGCCGCAAACACCGTCAGGTCGGGATCGTCAGGACTCTGCCGCGGCGCCAGCAGCTCTGCCAGCGTCTCCATATACATGCAGCTCGTCAGGACGGTCCACTTCATAGGGCTCGTCGCCTGCGCGCTGATGTAGTCGGCGACCTTGCCCTTGCCGTCCATGTGCCCTGCACGGTATTTGGGGTCGAAGTCGCCCAACTTGGACACATACGGCAGCGATGCCCACTGGAAGTGCGCCACGCCGCGGCTGCGCGCAATCTCGTACATGCGTATGCCCCAGTAGATCTCATTCTTCTCCCCGATGGCGAAGCCATTGGTGTTGACCCACGCGAAGTCGACGGCGTCGAAGGCGTGCTGCAGCGTGGCTTCATCATAGGGGTTCCCTTCCATGATAGCCACACCAGGAAGGTCGGCGAGCGCGGCAGCGGCGGGGGATGCCGAGGAACGTGTGAGAACGCGGATTTCGTATGCGGAATCGTCAGAAAGGGCTATCAAGAGCTTAGTCTGGAGAGCTAGTATTGCGGGAGATCACGCACCTTTCACCACAGCAGCACCTTGCGCTCCTGTCCCACCAACCACTAGGACGGTCTTCTTACTGCCCGACATCTTGGTGCATATGATGTAGCTATTCCCAAACGTATGGAATAGATTGAATACGGCAATGTTAGAGCCTATGTCCAGCATCTGGTGGTGGTAAACTGCCGCTTTTTATAGTTGACTTGGTGTGGCAGACAACCGTCATAGCTGAAACTCAGGTTATCCAAAGTATAGTCCTTTTCACAAATGGGTACCAAGTCATGCTCTGTGAGAGCAGGTTGCCGAATAAAGGTTTAATCAACCCCGCGACACCAGCCATCGAGAACGGTTGGTGGGGTCCATTTCCTTAGGAAAAGCTGGCGGCACGGGGGGGGGGGATTATTGCGAGGTACCGCTACAGCGAGTTTGGGACGTGCGTAAACTTGTAGTTGCAGGATTGCCCGTTGTATCCACAGTCCAGAGTCTAAAATTCAGTAAAGTCTCATGTAAAACAAGGCTTCGGTGGCTACGAAGTAATCTCATCCTGAGGCCGGATGTTTCGTCGTGTCCTGACCGACGAAACTCAAACAAGTGGGAATGAACGGCCGCTAGCATTATCTCCAGCTTTCCCATTACCCGTTTATGAATGTGTCTAAAACATAAGAAGGATACTAAACTTAATATTGCGATCACAGTGATATCATCATCTTCCGATGCTTCTTTTTATTTGTGGTGTGCGGCCAGCAATATTCATAGAGATGCTTGTTCATGTTGGAAGGTCCCAGACAACGCTCCTGGACCAAACAAGTTGGCTCTCCAGCTGACTTCACGATGATCGACTTTCTGGCAGATACATCTCCTGTATACAATTACAAGCCCACTCACCGAATGGAATTCTCCCACAACTTGGCTGCCTTTTCCGTATCGTAAGCATGAGCCCCGTACCCAGGTCCCCAGTGACCGAGTGAGGGTTTCCACGGTCCAGCAATCTGGCAATTCTCAAGATACTTGCCGCCCATACTCTCAAGGGCCGCTGCAGTAGCACCACAAGCGCTCGTAGCGGCACCTTGTTCAGGATTCTTGCTGACCTTGGCAGGGTAGGGGTCACTTGCAAGGACGTTCTTCCCGTCATCGGGCATATGACGCGCCAGGTCCGTTTGGACAGCTCCCGGCTGAACGCTCCAAGCATGTATACCCTGCGTTCCGTATTCGTCGTTCAATCTCATTTGCAGTCCAAAGATCGGCCGTTTTACTTTGGGCATAAGCTGCCATGCCGTCGTACGCGTCGAAGTTGACCTCCCCGAAGCGGTGAGCGAGCGATGTTAGGATAACGACTCGCGAAGCCCTCTCAGGAGTGGCACCAGCTAGTAATGCAGGCTGGAGAAGGTTGAAGAGGAGAAAGTGCGAGAGATGGTTGGTGCCAAACAGGGTCTCGAAGCCATCCTTGGTCCGCCCTTCGGCTGGAAAGATACCGGAGAAACTCGAGAAATTCAACCTCTTGGCAAAGTGGAACTGGCCCACCCACCCCGCCCACTATGCCCTTAAGGGCTAAAGCCGATGAGGCTCATTGCAAATCCGATATCAGATTAATCCCTCAACTGGGGAGGTAGAGTAAGGGCACGTGTTGGAGTTTTCTTGATGTGATAACGTGCAGTATTGGGTTTTAATACTGCTGTGTGTCTTCAACTGTGTCCTTTGCTCCTGTGGCTGACAGCGATGTCATCAAAAAAAAAAAAAAAATAGAATTGATGTGATAACGTATGATAAGCGAGTGCAACAAACAAGCGAGCGCAACACATGCGGACCGGAGTCTTCCGTAGGACATGGCAACTGGGCCAATGACACGGGACAGATCGACCACGAGGGTTGATTGATACCAGTCCGCTGTCACTGCGGCTGGACCAATTGAAGCTTATCTCGTCTGGTCCACTCTCCCGCGAGTGTTAGTCCGGGGGGGTGCGCTGATTTAGGGAAAGGATCTCTGATTGGGAAAAAGAGGGGTACATAATATTAGGTGCCGATCATACTATCAATGAAGTACCTTCGTTTTGTTGCATATCACCGCTACTCAACCCCGCCTCAACGGCTGCTGGCCTCCGCTGAATCCGAGCCGTCCTTTGAGCTGAATTTGGTCCCGTGCTCACCTGGCCCGTGCTCTCAAGTCCCGCGCCACGGCCGCTGTCCCTTGGCGCCGCTGTCCCCTCCACCTGCCCTTCATTCCCCGGATCCCCGACCTGTCCGTTCACCTGCAGTGCTCTTGCCTTGCATTTTCTCTTAATGTACTCCTCCTCAGAGACGGCTCTATCTCGCTTGAATTCCACATGGTGATGCCCCTTCGTCCACCGATGGCGTCGCAATAGCTTCCCTCCGACCTGAATCCCTGTTTTCCTGAGAGGCAGCTCACCTGACGATTCCATGACGACCATGTCCATCCCCACATCAATCTTCCAGTCGCAACGACGCTTGGTTCTCGTCGCTTCCGCCGCCTTCTTTGTCGTGAGCGTCTACCTCTGCACTATAGTACTATTCGCCATGGATTTCAACCGCGCGTCCATCTCCTCAAGTTACGAAGACATCGAAGTAGACCTCCCCAAGGCCAATCTTCCCTCATCTACCGGCTCCTATAACCAGCCATCGTCCGAGGACATCACCGTCGTGGCTACGCTTCCTAACGGGTACGTCCCGACCACCGATAATAATAGGAGGATAATCGTGATCGGAGACCTCCACGGCATGATCCACCCGCTCAACACCCTCCTCGAAGAGACCGGGTTCGATAGCACAAAAGACCACATCGTGTCAGTAGGCGACATGGTCAACAAGGGTCCCGATTCTACCGGCGTCATCAAACGCCTCATGGATCTTAACGCCAGCGCCGTCCGCGGGAACCACGAAGACCGCGTGCTATGGGCGTAGATAGCTTATAATACTAGGGAAGATATCGCGGCCGACTTGGCAATGAAAGACGCGGAGGTGCCTCCAGGCGAGTCTGGGGATCTAAAGACAGCACGGAGCCTTTCGTCAGAGCAGCTGGACTGGCTCAAGAGCTTACCCGTTATCCTCACCGTTGACCCGCTCAACCTGTGTATTGTCCACGCAGGACTTGTCCCGGGTATCGAGCTTGAGCAGCAAGTCCCCTGGGCCGTAATGAATATACGAACGCTCACCTACCCTACTGACGATTTCCGCAGGAAGGAAGAATAGAAGCAGGAGAAAGAGGAGCAGAAAAAGAAGAAGGAAGGGGAGCGAAAAAAGCAAGAAGAGGAAGAAAAGAATAAGTCCCGTCGCGATGAGGCCGAGCCTGATGACGCCGCCGAAAACATCGTCATCGAGAGAACCATACTCAATCACGACGTCTGGATCCCTATCGACAGCCACGACGGCGACAAGTGGACCGACATCTGGAACCGCGAGCAGAAGCGAGTCCCTAAGTCCCATCGCCGCACCATAGTATACGGCCACGATTCTCAGCGCGGCTATTAGGAAGATTCCTACACCTTTGGCCTCGACTCCGGGTGCGTCAAAGGTGGTGCCCTGTCCGGCTTTATTATCCAGGCGGTCGAGGGGGCTTGGACACATACCACCGTGCAGGTGCCGTGTGAAGAATCGTGAGCTTGGCGTGGGCGTGAGTAAAGCTGGATAGGCAGATATCGCATTGTATGGGCTGCAATAGATTTCCTGGAGGGGGAGAGATGCTTGGCCTGCATTTATGGTTAGGGTTGTCGTTGCAGGCGTTGAAGATATGTGTTTTCGGCAACGGCGATGAAGAAATAAGCATCCAATCTCGTTTCTATCGTGTATAATGATGTTGGAATATTCACGGTTTGATCAATGATGGAGAATCCTGGGTTGGCATGACTCTTATTCTCATTCAGATTACCGCCACAGAAGAGTCCTGTCGATGTTTTGACGAACCCTTTTCTCCCGCAGCGCCTTCGGTAGGCAAATTGGTAGATGCTGTTGCAAACGAGGGCACAGGTATACCTATTGTCGTCCATCCCTTTGACCAGATTCTAAAGTCGCCTGGAATAGAGCTTGAGCGGAGTCACCTAGACCACCGATAACAGGCATGCCATCACCCTCGCAAGGAGCCTGATAGAGGAGAGGATGCGCAAGATCGGACATCCGTGACGCATGTGCTGGCGTTGAAGGGTTTACGATGTGCGGTGAAGAGCATGGTGATCCAGTTGCCACGCTGGTAACGGCATCTGACTCGGTTGCGCCAGCTGTAGTTGAGTCCACAGAATGAACACGATTGATATTATCCAACACTTTACTGGGACTGTCTGGGACGACTGGGCTGCGGCTGAGACTGATAGGCATAGCTGTGGTCTGCTCGTGGTATGCTGAATTATTGATGAGACCACATTAACCAATAGAAACCATCTTTGTCGTCCAGACTATATATAGATGATGATGTATAATCCCCTTCGCTAGATATACGCTGTTATTCATCAGTCTTAAAGACGCCCATTACCCCTTTTAAACGAATGTTAGTGCCAAAAGGCACTCTCCCCTGTCCATTGCACACATCATATTCTGCTACACAATGCTCTTCGCCGTTCTTATCGGCCTCATAGGCCCAGATGAAACAGCGACACCAATATAGAGTCTGGTTGACTCCTTTCACAAACCCGGGTGTCTTTCTGGAATCGTCACCAAAGGTTATAGTTTCGTTGAGTAGCTCTCGACTGAATGGCTGAAGATCACATCAGTTTTACCATTCCAACTTACATATGGAGAGGTACCATTAAGAAATGACTTTCAACCTGATGATGAATTAAAGATTGATCGATTGATGCCACCTTTGACAAAGTTCCCAACGTGTGCCCCTGATGGGCTATACCTTGACAGGAAACGTCGCTAAAGGTCAGCGGCTCGAAGGTTGATCAAAATCCTCGTCGGATAGTGGCTGGTCTAGAAAGCCGTCTCCTCAAAAGGTATCGAGCTTGGGTGCATTCCCAGGCTGTTGGTGAGGGCTCTGCTACCTTAATCGTGAATATAAATTATATCGAAGAAAAGTAGAGCGGCAGAAAGCTGGCAGCGGAAAAGTGGTTGGTAGCGGGTGGCGAAGCTAGTGCTGTGAGGGATGAAGTGATGTGAGGCCGTTTACCTGTATGCGTATCTTGGCTTATCCTTGGCTCTACCCCTTATCAAGGGTAACAGGATGTTGTATCACGTGCTATATCACGTATGCTGTGAAGCGTGTCGGATACGTCCACTTCAGTTACTCTCGGGTTACGCGATTATGTGGTGCCTGTGACAGCCAGCACCTGGTGTCCCCACCAGTAAGTCTGAAAGTAGATACGTCCGGGGAATTCAACGGCGGCAATGTCAGTATTCCCGAACTGGCAGTGCTCCGGGGACGAACTCTTGCTTTCACGTTAACCGTCTGGGTTGGCGGCAAATTCGATCGCTGGATTGGAGGCACATTGCCGGCTGGTTATGTTGTGTTCACCGTGATGGAGCTTATACCGTAGCATCTCGAGAAATTCGGACTCTCTAGCCCCTCCACTTTTCCACTTTTTAACCTCTAAACCGTTAGTTACCGTTGGTTAATTGGCTGATACGGAGTTTTGTGGCGACGCTAGAGTGTCCGAATTTCTCGAGATCCTACGGTATTTACTCACAATGTCGCTAATACACCATAGCTGTCATAGACGAGGCTCATATACGAGCTCACGGCAACGAGTTTGCAGATGAAGCAGCCGAGGATGCAGCAGCTGGTGAGCGAACAGAACATTGAGAGAAACTGGAGAGGGCACCATGGTAGAGAAACGACCAAAGATCATCCGCTCAAGCCGACGCTTGCGACGTTGTTCAGCAGTGAAGGGATCGAATAATGGGGAAACCTCCTGCAGACATGAGACCAGGGCCAAGGCAAATTCAGATCATCTCGAAGCTCCTGAGCCAGCGCTTGATCATCGACGCAATAATGATGGAGCCAACAAACTGGAAGACTTGGTTGAGACCCTGTAAGAGACCAAGGCGCTCGAAAGTCTTCGCCGAGGTTCCACTAACGATTGCGTCGTAGTCGTAACAATTTATGGCGAGAGCGGTAATAGAGCCGTTGAATACCTCAAGGCCGAACTTGCAAATCATGATGATGAGGATATAGAAAAATTGTTAACACCGTATAACCAAGATGGTCCGATCTGCTGGTGGTTGGGATGTGGATACTATGTAGTGAGCTGTGCTGTTCATAAACACACAGGCCTTAGACCTTTCAATATCACCTGCAACCCTTTTGCGGTGCTGCGCCTCTCAGCAGCAGTAAAAGCCTAGAGGCCCCGTTTGAAGACTTGATAATACATCATCACAGCTACGGGCTGCACGTGGGTTACCGAGGTCTGTGAAATGGGTGACGGATCCTGACCTACAGAGTCAATCATGCTACGAAACTCAAAGGTTATGTACTCGGGGGCTGTCCTCCCTCTTGCCTACGCATGAGCAAATGGTTGACAATTTCCGTCCCTATGTGCATCTGGGCGTTGAGCTCATAGGCTGTTAACTTCATTCAATTAGGCGATGGCGTGGCAATTATCTGTTCCCAAATGCGAGCTGAATCAATAGGCAGTCAGGGAAGACATGTGTGTGTGTGTGATAATCACATGCCTGCGGATAATACTCTGTCGTGACCACCCTCAAAATTTTTGATCTTGCACCATGGAAGGGAATGGGTATGTTTTAACCCCCGCCTAGTAGGAACCTTCTCGGAATCTCCTCGCCCCTCTTTAGCTCCTCAACACCGCAACCAAACATTGCGCTGGGATTTCTTGTCTTGGAGATAAGCATCCAGGTATGCTGAAAATGCGAGTCTTTCCTGCAGGATGTTATCCGGCAGTGAGTCAATAACCCTATTCATAATAGTTGCTTGGTCAGGCTGAGCCTAGTTTAACAGGCCTACATCAGGACGAAGCCCCTAAATCCTACCCAGATAGCTCGCAGGAACGTGGCAACTATCACTTAATGCCTAGAAATCCTTCATGTTTCAGCCGCTCCCATATCGGGACGATCAGAACCAGGAAAGGCTGCTGCTCCTTCAAGTGTTAGGCTATGCATGAAGTTGTATCGAGCCTAGACACCCTATTGGTATCTTGGGGGTTTGCTCAGCAGCTATGCCGCAACCATGGATTTGGCTGATCGTGCAAGCTGTTTCCGTTAAATCCTGAGTGCGTTCTTCATTAGGCCTCCTAAACCAACATATGGATAGTGAATAGCTTGATACGAAGGATCACTCAACCCTAGCACTCAACTGACATGAATTAAGAGAGACGTACACGAAATATGACGCGCCAGTGATAAGGTCTCATTGCTCGGTACCATGCGATACCCCTCCACCGATAAGACCCCTCTACCAACAAGCAAAAAAAGTTTCCCCATATAAACTACTATTTTTAACTACCTCATAATAAGTCACTAGAAATATAAAAAATAAATCAATTCTTATTTTTCTATTAGGATTTAAATAGTTTTTAATATTATCTTAGTCTTTTAATTATATAGCTTACGCGAGTATATATAATAAGTAATTCTTCTACCTTTGAATTTATACTCTTATCTTCTTTTATTTCTCCTACCTTAATTATATCTTTAATAACTTTTATCTCTTAAGCTACTTAATTTAGCTCTAAAATAATATTATTAGCTATTACAGCCTTAGCTAATATTATAAACTTTCTATTAGGATTTAATATTACTTTTCTCGTTTTACTTTTACTTAATCGCTTAATTTCCTCTTTTAAATTAATTACTCTTAAGCTTAAAGAAATAATCTTTAATTCTTATACTTTAAACCCTTTTGATATTATAAAATAATATCTTCTAATTAAAAGGCTTTTATTTTTCCTTAGATCCCTAATATAATAATTAGTCTTTAATATATTATTAGAATTATATTATTTATCGCTAAGGCTATCTAATATAGGTATTATTTCCTTTTTATCTAGCTAAATCTCTAGATATATAAGCGCTTTTTATTATAAAATTAGCTAATTTTTAATTATTTATTAACCTAAAAGGATATTTTCCTTTATTATGCTTACTTCCCTAGCTTTAATATATGCCTTAATAAAGTTAATCTTATCTAATAGTATAGAATCGGTTAGGCTTATTACTTTTTAAAGTTCTTTGCGATAGGTAGCCTTAGAGATATTAAATATGCTATTATTAAATAGCTATAAGCTATAGGAGCAATAAGCTAA